TCATCATCATCATCCAGTGCCAGATCTGCGACAGACATCGACGATCATGGTTTTCCATTCATTCCTTTGCTCGGATGCTCTAAGAAAAGCTACATTTCACTGATCTTTCCCTGTTGTTACCCATTTGTTTAGGTTCCCTAAGAATGTTGTTCTACGTATATCATTGTATCAAAAAGAATGTAAAACGTGCTGTGGGTGGATAGCGGATGCTTTGATGTGGTTTGCTCCTTCTTTCCAAATAAACACATCCATTCTTCTGATCTCTTCTCCATTTTTCTATGTATGTTACTCTCTTGTAACACCCCAAATCTTCGGAACTTACATGACCTAATTGTTTTGCAAGTGCCATAAAACTCTTAAAAAGCCAAAAACGAAACAAAACCATTTCTCTGGGGATGATTGTAGACCCGAGAACAAGATTGCGCCAAGCCCAAAAATGCAAAATTTGAGTCTGGGACGTCGCTGCCGCTGCAGTAGAGGATATAGTGTACATGGACTTTTGGTAAGGCTTTCACGGTGCTCACAACTGCATAAGGCCATATGAGCCCGCGGGACACACCATACATTTTCAATTGGTACGAACATTTGAATTTTACCCGGTGACGTCCGAAGGGTGGGATCTTGAACGGGCGCAACTTGCACACGGCCCTCCTAGATTTTTCGCCCTGGTCCTAGAGGACTAGGTGTTGATCTTTCCTACCAGAGGATCAGGGGTGTGACTGAAAGACAGCTGTAAAAAGGAGCCAAATGGTAGCAGTAAAAAGGCTGCAGAAAGACTCAGGAGGCCAGAGGAGGGGGCAAAGGGGGTGAAGGGATGGGAGCAGAAAGGGGAGACAAAAGAAGATGACAGAACATTGTTGGAGAGCAGGAAAGGAGGTGAACGGAGACAATTTTAGAGAAGAAAATTTTCCGCTGCTATCCCGATTTGAACCCCGAACCTATTGAATGAGAGTCGAACACCTTAACCTCTAGGCCACGAGAACCCCAAGGATAATGACTGACGAGGATATACTGTATATGTACTTACACGTTTAGAGCATGACTGACAAAGGAATATTGTACATATACTTATGCGTTTAGATAATGACGGAAGTGGGAATGCTGTACATATACTTACACGTTTAAAGAATGCCTGATATTATGCTGCTCATGTACTTACACGTTTAGAGCATGACTGACACGGCTATACGTTCAGAAAAATGACTGAAGAGGGAATACTGTACATATACTTACACGTTCACAGAATAGGTGACAAAAATATATACTGTATTTATACAGAGAACGACAGACGTAGGAGTAGTGTACATCTTTACACGTTCAGAGAACGACAGACGGGGGAGTAGTTTACATCTTTACACGTTCAGAGAATGACTGACGACGGAATTCTCTACATGTACTTACACATTTTCAAATAACGGACGGTAATTAGATTCCAGTTCTCTCACACGTTCACGAAAGGGACAAGGAAACAAAATCACCGAGAGGTTTTGACGGAAGGAAATTTCCCATGAGATATCTGGATGACTCCTCGAGCATATCTCGTCATGTGCGAAGTCACGCTGCGTCGCGCGCGTCCTTGCCGCGCCAAAATCACTCAAGTATAAAGAACCCGTCTCCTTACACGCGATGCGACGTCTTGCCACGAGCGACCGTCGCCTGCGATCGATCCATGTTAAAGTGATCGAGACCTCGTCGCGCGCGATAGACTGGGGGTAGGACAGGTTTAAAGCATCACCGTTGGTCAAAATACCTAGCCAAGGAGTTCCGGTCGACAAGCCGTGTGTGTGGTGTGTGATGTGGTCGCGCATAAGGATACATACCTCGCGACTCATCGGCCGTTTTGAGTAACTAAGACCACGAGGTCAGAAACCAAATGATGTTCTAATTGCCCTGTCAAAATCGTAAGATTATTCAAATTTGAAGTCGTTATCAAGGTATTCAAAGAATTGTACTTTCTTTAAAAAGTTTGACACGTTGTAAATCCCAAAATTGTTTACGCCATAATAAGGAAATGATGTGTGTGTGGTAACCTTGGGGAAGATACGGTGTCATTTTTGTCTATGTGTGTGCGACACCGAACCCTTCAACGGATAAAGGTGTGCCTAAAACTTTTCGTGCTTTTTTATTTGAATCTGATTTGGGGGAGGGAGGGGTCTACTGAAAAAGAGTTCACATTTTAAAAAAGCTACACACGAAATACGTGTAACCAATCATGTGTGACTGTGGTGTGTAAAGACGTCATCTATTGAGACAAATCTACAAAAGCACCTTTTATTTCATCATGGGTTTTGCCATTAGGCATCTTTACAGAACAAAGTCACGGATCCCTGATTCTCTTGTGTGTAACTTACGTTAACTGAACTCCAGGTTTTTTATTCCTCTGACATCAGGAGCTGCTGCGTCAGTCAGAGAGGCGTGACGTGTTCATGGTTGGTGTGCAGTCAGCCTGAAAACTTTGCCAGCTGCGAGCGCATCACTGCACTCGATCTGAACGCATATATTTTTTTACTTCTTTCTGAATTGTTTTTAATTGATTTTTTTGTTTGTTTTGTTCTGGGGTTGTTTTTTAGTAGTTGTTTTTGTTTTGCAGCAACTTGTATTCGACCCTTTGAACCTCGCTAAGGGCTTCATTTTCGGTGTCAGCGTATCAAAATAAGCAAAATGGTTCGCAACAAACCTGACTTGATATGATATTCAAACCTAAGCGAACATTTTATTTTTCAATTGATAGATAGCAAAGTCATGTATCAATATCATCTTGTGTGCTGCGCATCTAAGATCTTATATATTAGCTTCTACCTAAACGCTGCACACTGACGTGGTGACTTGTCAAAAGGCGCTGCTCTTATTGAGATGTACAGATCCCATGAAAGTCTGTGGAAGTCCAAAGACTACAGTGACAAATTAAGAGAGCAACTTG